AGTGACAGACCTGCCCCCACCAGGACTGTACCCCAGTATTATACAGTAAGAAATATTCCCACTAGGACGAAATTCACACATCGATGTTCGACATGGGAGTTGGAGCCAGTCAGCAGACCAGATTCCTCACTCTGCTGGCTTCCGAAATTTACAAGGGAATAAGGCCCCCAAGTTATGTGTTCCAATTTAAACAGTGTATCCTTGCTATGATAAATGACCTCAGGCAGGAGCTATTGGGATGCAGACACAGGAGGGATAGCCCCAAGACTAGGGATTCATATCTGGTGTACGAATGTAGAGGAGAGGAGAAGGAAGGTGGAGGGGGAGGTATAGGAGAGGAAAGAGGAGAGGATCTGAGATGGGAGAATGGAAAGTGCATGGGATGGGAGGGTGGAGGGGGCAGTTGCGAGAGAAGGCAAGAGGGAGGGTAGAGAAGAAGGATTGGTGAGGAGAGGGGAGAGGTAATTGAGAGAAGAGAAGTGGAGGAGTTGAGATGCTGAATGTGACACAAACAGAGACCAACGGAGAAGACCCCATCTGTCAGTCCTGGAGAACCTGACTCTGTGAAGAAGGGGAAACAGGTGTCAATCTGATAGATTTAATGAACTCACCGATTGAAATCACGTATCATAGAAACATGGAAGATAGGAGTAGGAGGAGGCCATTCAGCCCTTTGAGTCTGCTCTGCCATTCTCCACGATCATGGCTGATCGTCCAACTAAATAGCCTAATTTTGCTTTCTCCCCATAACCTTTGATCCCATTCGCCCCAAGTGCTATATCTAGTCACCTCTTGAATACATTCAATGTTTTGGCATCAACTACGTCCTGTGGTAATGAATTCCACAGGCTCACCATTCTTTGGGTCATGAAATATCTCCTCTTCTCCGTACTAAATGGTCTACTCCCAATCCTCAGGCTGTGACCCCTGGTTCTGGACACACCTACCATCGGGAACATCCTCCCTGCATCTACCCTGTTATAAGTCTCTATGAGATCCCCCCTCATTCATCTGAACTCTAGCAAAAACAATCCCAACCTAGTCAATCTCTCCTCATTCATCAGACCCGCCATCCCCGGAATCAGCCTGATAAACCTTCGCTGCACTCCCTCGAGAGTGAGAGCATCCTTCCTCAGAAAAGGAGATCAAAATTGCACACAATATTCCAGGTGTGGTCTCACCAAGGCCCTGTATAACTGCAACAACACATCCCTGCTCCTGTACTTGAAACATCTTGCAATGAAGGCCAACATACCATTTGCCTTCTTTACCGCCTGCTGCACCTGCATGCTTACCTTCAGCACAAGGACACCTAGGTCTCATTGCACACTCTACTCTTCCAATTTACTGCCATTCAGGTAATAATCTGCTTTCTTGTTTTTGCTTCCGAAATGAATAACCTCACATTTATCCAAATTATACTACATCTGCCATTGATTTGCCCAATCACCCAACCTGTCCAGATCGTGCTGAAGGATCTCTGCATCCTTGTCACAGTTCACCCTCCCACCCAACTTGGTATCATCTGCAAACCTGGCGATGTTACATTTTGTTCCCTCATCCAGCAAGGGAATGGGTGTGACTAAAACTGTGTATTGGAGTTATGCAAACTCATCCTCATTGACCATTCTTGCCGAATTTCCCAGTAGAACACTGGGCTGAGATTGATGGCCATTACCTTCCCTCCTGTAATGGTCAACTTCTTCACCAAATTCTTCCCAAGTTCCTTGCAAATGTCCTCCAGAAGCTGTGCATTATTTTCTTCCAGTAAGTCCATCTTCTCCATTTCAGTGAGGACATCCAGCATTGTCTGAGGAGTGAGAGTGATATAGCAAACTCTTAATGAAGGGTTCATCGGACAAAGACCGTCCCTGATCACTTGACGTTTACTGTAGACAGTAACTCTTATTGTACAGGAGCAACGTTGGATGTGTAACCAGAGGCCAACCTTGTGAAAAGTTTTAATGCGGGAGAAGGGATGCAGAAAAGTTTAAAGTGTGAATTTCTGCAGTTAGGACCCAAGCAGTTGAAGGCACTGTTGCCAATTGTGGAGCCAAGAGGAGAAGGGATGCAGAAAGGTCAGAATTTTCAGAGAGGGTGTGAAAGTCCCTACAGAGAAAGGGATGGGAAGGATAGTGGAAGGATTTGAACAAGAGGATGAATATTTCAAAGTGAAGACTTTGAGGGAATTGGAATTAACCAGTAAATCTGATCCGATCGTTTCTGCTTCAATCATTCCTGGAAGGAATATCTCCTGCTCTGCACCTCACTCTGAGTCACAGTTTTAAATCACTGACTCCACCAAAAGGGCAAATTGTCTTTCATTATTCACTCAAACAAAATCTGCCACAATTTAAAACATTTGAATGACATCTTCTCCAGGCTTGCTCTTGCAGGAACAGTCTAACTATCTCCAGTTTCTCCTCATTGCTGCAGTTGCCCATCCCTAGCATTATCCCACGGAATTCACATTCTAAAGTCTCCCTTGTGTACATGTTCTTTCCATAACAGGCTGTCAAAATTTGTACACGGTACTCAAACTGTGATTTAACAAGTTGGTTGGTTATGTATCATTACTGCTCAACTCTGTACTATTCAACCTAATATGAAAACCCCTAATTGCTATTTCTGTATTACTGATTCTATCTCTCTCGTGCACCTTCAGGTAATGATGCCGGATCTCTGGTCACTCATATGCTTCAATTTCTTTTCACTTAACGGACTCTGTCATTCTTCCTCAGACATGCGCTATCGGACATTTTACACTAAACTGCGTCTGCCTCCTGTCTCCGCTCAACTCCATTACCCTATTCCCCAAACCTTTCAGGTTTTCAGAAATCTTTCACACTCCTCCCCACTGGCAAAGCTGCATACCAGCAACTCATTTTCAAAATACACAAGAGATTGTGAAATGATTGAAAAATGATCCCAGGGTGACAGATGGACAGAGGACAGATGGATAGAATTTTTTCCCCCATTTGTGAAGGATTATCAGAGGAGAAAAAATCTCCATCGTCCAGTAAGTCAACAACTAGATCAAATCACAGCAGCATTAGAAGATCAAAAGGAGAGTTAGGAGCTTTTGTTCGATTCAGAGCATTCTGGAACGTTCTGTCAGAAACTGTGAGGGAAGTAGAATACATCAAGGTTTTTAAAACGTAGTGGATAAATACTGGTCCTTAAAAAGAAAAAATACAAAGAAGGGCAGGGAAATGTGACTAAGGAGATTTTCTTTCAGATTGAAGGTTTGAAAGTTATCAGCTGAATGCCCTCCAACATGCTATAGCTTTCTCAATAGTAAACAAGATAATACAGGCTGGGCACTGTTGTGATTGTAACAAGGTCAGCCAGCTGGACATCCTGGAATCCCTGACTGGGGTTGTTAATCTGGTCTAATCAGGGAGCCCTGGCTGACAGATATAAAGAGTAGTGTCAGAGATTCTGGCACTCTGAGAGCTGATTCTGAAGAGGCAGTACTAAAGTCAAGGACTCTTTGTTATAAATAAAGGGTGACTTGATGATGGGGTACTGGCCTCTATTTCAGTTACAAATCCCAGCATACTCACTAAACTCACTTTGATGCTCTCCAGTAAAAAAAATTTCACAGTTTCCAAATCATTCATCGTAATATCCTCCGAAACCTCAAACAAAAGCTGTCTGCAAAAGAAGCAAATTTATAATTAAAACACATCAGAACGGCAAATATGGTTTAGGAATAGTCTGACTAGAGTGGAATTCTCTCCACCTCTTCAGAGGTTGTGCCTAATTCAGTACAAAATTACTCAATTATTTGAAACGTGTTTCAAGAATGAAATTGAAAGTATCTTGTTTAAAAACCTTTTCTGGAATACTGGGCTGACTGTTTCACTTTAAACTCTCCAAAGGCAGGCACATCCTGGTTTCAGTTAAAGGCTGAATCTCCTTCACTGTCTGTTATTGTACTGGTGTTGGTCTTGGAAAAGGCTATGAGCTCTGTGTTGCTCCAAAGAAACTAGAGTTTAATGTCTTTTCAAGATTACAATTTACTTAACGTTCCGGAACAATTACTTCCTACGACTATGCACAAAGTCCAATACCATATAATTTCTTCATCATGTCATCACCTACATCATGATTGATGTAGCTTATCATTTGCATATTCAAGCACTAACCTTTTACATATACTGTTGCTTCAGACACTTCTGGGGCAGGGACATCACGGGGTTATATAGAGAGTGAACCATGAATCATGTATCCAGGATAGGTACAGCATGGCGTTAAATATAGAGGCCCACAACTTCCAGTCTCAGGGTCATCACAGTCTAGACGTATTGGTGAGGTGCATGTTGTGATCCTGTGGAAGTTCTGATGGACAGATCCATATGGGGATTGCTCAGGTTTGAACTTCTGATAGGCAATCCCCCTGCTCCCTAAAGCTCTCCACAAATGAATCAGTGACTTTGGGCAGTTGCAAAGTATTTGCCTGCATAGCTTTCTAGGAAATGTTGGACACATTGAACACTACCTCCTGGGTAAATACACAACTGATGCCCCAATCACTCACACTGACCCTTTCAGAACCCCCTGACCCAACCCAACTAACCTCTGGCCACGTATCTACTCTCTTAATCACACAAGTAGCCCTCCTGACCACAACACCCCAATCCAACCCAAAGACACACTCCATCCCAATTAATCACCTCCCAGCTATAGAGCTATCCCTCCCAATTACTGTTGGAATGCGATTGACAGCAGTCCTGAACATCTAACTCCACACAGTTTAGGCTGCTTGAGTATCTGCCCTCATTGCACACCTCCTGTCATGAATATGAAGGAGGGTCAGTGGATGTGCAGTTGACCATGAGAGGTTGAGCTGACCTGTATGATGAGATCTTGGCCTTTCCTGGTTCTTTCAGCTGCCTGCAGACCTTGTCTTTGTTGTACTTCATCTTCTTCAGGAGCCTGAATTGTCTGGTCCGATACAGTAGCTCTGCCACGGTGAAGGGGTCATTTTCAACGAGAAGGCCCTTCTCCATAAGAGCGATGAAGAGTTTTCGTCCAGAATCAACCCTGTTGAGCTGGTTACTGTCCAACAGATCTCGGCAAAGGAACTTCATTGCCTCCAGCTCATCCCTGCCCAAGTTTTCACTGATTCGATTGAGGTGGGCTTAAGAACCGGAAATTGACATCTTCCATCGTGGCTTCATACACCTGGATAGGCAGAGAAGTCACAAGTATCAGAAACTCCCACCTGTGCAGACTGTGTGACTCCCCCTCCTCAACGTTCCCTACTGAACCAGACATTGTCCTTAGCCTAGGGTCTGATATAGCTTATTGTCAATGACTGAAGGGGGTGACTGTGAGTAACATAGGAACTTTAAATGATAATGGTGAAGTGCAGGAGCTGCAGCCTTTGCAATTGTCCCACAGATTTGAGATCCTTGAAGCTTTTATGGAAAAAAGTTTTAAGTTTGATCAATGAATTGACCACAGCACTGTGATATAAGAAACCAGTCCAGTGAGGTGAGTCAACATGAACATAGTGGTGGTGGGTTGGGAGTTGGGCAGTACAATCAGGGGGTTAGACACAGATCCCTGTAGCCCAGTGCCAGGGTTCAGGGCATTAACTTTAGGTGGGAGAGGAACCAGCAGTAGGTGTGGAAGGATTCAGATGTCATGGTCAATGTGGATTTTCCTGCAAATAGTTTCTCCTAGTCCACTTTGGCCGGATCCTAACTTATCTTCCTCCAATTCAGAATCGTTATTTCTCGTCCCAACCTTGTTCTTATTCCATAATTATCTTAAAACTTCATGAACTGTGGCTGGCATCACTGAAGTGCTGTCCCACTGCCACATCTACCACTTGCCCGCTTCTTTCCCTAAAATTAAGTTTAGCAAAACCCCTTTCTTGTAGGACTTTCTACGTGTTGGCTTAAAAACTCCCTGGACATTTTTTTTAAGAATTCTTCTGACAGTGTGGCCTTCTAAAATTTCATCCCTCCTTATTGGAGTAATTGATGCCTTGACCAATATTGTCACACGCAACCCCACCTTTGCACCCTCTCATTTCACCTGAAGACTCTATAGCCCGGAATATTGAGCTGCCAGTCCTGCCCCTCCTTCGACTCTATCTCTGTGATAGCAATGATATCACATCCCCATGTGTTAATCAACAACCCCAACTCATCTGCCTTATTTAAAAGACTCCTTGCATTAAAATAAATGCCATTCAGCTCTGTCTTGCTTCCTTGTGGCTTACTTGGCTATATTCACACTGCCTTGTAGACTGACTTGGTCCTTCTTCTGTACTTGTCTGTACATGATCCTATGCTATTCCTCCAATCTGCATCCCATCCCTCTGCCAAATTAATTTAGCAAACAAAGATATTGGTCCCATTCTGACGCAACCCATCAAACTTGTACAGTTCCCACCTTCCCCGGGAATAAACCCAGTGATCCTGGACTTAAAGCCACCCCGACCGCCACTCCAATCCTTCAGCCACTCATTCATCTGTACTACTTGTAAGCATATGGTACCAAGTGTAAGCCAGAGGTTACAACCTTTCAGGTCCATTTAAAAAAAAAATTCTGCTACCTATACCCCTAAATTCCTGTCGCAGGGCTTCATTTCTCTTTCTACCGATGTCATTGGTCCCAATTTGAAGCATGGTCTCTGACTGTTCACCCTACCTTTCAGAATGCTCTGCATCCATTCAGTGATACCCTTGACTCTGGCCCAGGGAGGCCAAACCCCATCTGTGACCACAGAAACACCTGTCTTGACCCCTCACTACTGAATCTCCCAGGCAATGGTCAAGGGGTATTATCACCAGACTATCAACTCAGAGACCCGGGTAATATCCTGGTGACCCTGTTTAAATCCTGCCATGAATTTGAATTAAATAAAAACCTGGAATGAAGAGTCTAATGATGACCATGCAGCCCTTGCCAATTGTCAGGTAAAACCCCATCTGGTTCACTAATGCCCTTTAGGGAAGGAAACCTGCCACTCCTACCAGGTCTAGCCTACATGTGACTCCAGTGCCACAGCAATGTGGTTGACTCTCGACTGCCCTCTGGGCAATTAGGGATGGGCAATAAATACCAACCTGGACAGCGACTCCCATGGCCTGTAAATGAATTAAGAAAAGACTATTGTTCCCCCTTTCTTTCTGCTCCCCCTGCACTCCCCAAAGGAACGGTGGCTCTCACCATTTTCTGACACAGAAAGTCTGTTCTTGAGCGAGGGCCACTCTGGCGTTTTCCTGACTTCTTGGTAGCCTTCTTCTGACTGATGGTCACCCATCCCCTCTTTGACCGCAACTGACGGGTGACCAGGTCTAAAGACATGCTATCCATGTAACTCTCAGCTTCACGAATGCACTGCAATGTCTCCAGCTGATGCTCAGGCTCCAAATCCCAGAACTCCAGCTGATCAAACTGGCGGCAGTTACTGCACGTGGTCACCTAAACTGCCAGGAGCAGCTAAGGCTCCCCATGTAATGTGGGTCATGCAACACACAGGAGTGAACACCCTCTCCCACACCTTGTCTTAGTCTTAAACTTACTTCCCTTATGTTAAGCAGTTCAAGAGAAAATTCACTCAGATGATAACTAGTTTGAAGGGGTTATCTTACGAGGAAAGGCTGGACAGTTGGGCCTGCACCGATTGGAGCTTAAAAGATTGCCAGGTGATCTTGTCGAAACATAAGTTCCTGAAGGGAGTTGGCAAGGATATCTCCCATCATGGAAGTGACTAAAACTAGGAGAGACAATTTAAAAATAAGAGGTCTGCCATTTAAGACAGATATTTCCTCCACTTCTAGCACTAGATGGAAAATAAATTGAGGCCCAGGCTCAGGGAGGTAGCATACACCTGAACAGAATCAAAAGGAACTGCCAGCAACAGACAGAGAGTTGGGGACTTCTGGCACGGGTCAGAAAATAATTTGAGGCCCAGACTTGAGGCCTATAGCATCCACTTGGAGAGAGTTAGAAGCAGCGGCAGTTCGTCCTAGATGGAAAAACCAGTTTTTTTTTAAAAAAACAATACTTTGATGGATTTTCACTTACAAGTATACGCGAGGAGTTCAGACCAGGAAGTGGCAATCATAGATTTTACTCGCGTTTCCCTCCAGGGTGGCAGACCTGTGAGGAATATTCCAGTGGGGATGTAACTTTGAAGCTCAGGGTCATGGCTTGGCCGCCACCAGGAAAGTGTGGTAAACCAAGGCAGGGGCCAGAAGGAGGTAGACCTCAGGAATCTCTTGGGTGGAAAATAAATTGAGATCCTGTCAGCTCAGGGCCTAACATTCCGCTGAAGAATTTGAAGCAGGACGTCTGTTCAGAACCCTTATCGGCAAGAGGCAGATTAGAATTAAGGACCAGGTACAACACTCACCAAGATAGAATCAGAAACACTGGCAGGTAGACATGGACCTGTAGCACTGATGGATATTGCAGGAGGGAAGATAAATTAAGGCCCGGGCTTGTAAGCTAGCACTCAAGAGATACAGTCAGAAACAGTGGCAGGAAATGACTGACGGAAGTTAATCACATAGAGTGTGAAAATAAAACTCTGACATCACAGGAATGTTGAGAGTTGATTTCCTGGTATCTATCCTTGCCTAGGGACTGTGTTTAAACACTTGAAAGGATTAAAAAAACACTAAAAAAGTTTCAGTAAAAGTTGATGGTTTCTCTATATTGATTTACATCTACAGGACAGAATTTATAGCTATTGAGATTGCTCTTTTATTTTTAAGTCAGATTTATTACTTTTACAGAGATGTATCAGTAAGATTTATTATTACTGGTAAGGTGCATTATTACTGCTGGGGGTTGGTTAGCACAGTTAGCTGAGATAGCTGGTCTGTGATACAGTGTAATGCTAACAGTGTGGTTTCAATTTCCACAATGACTGGGGCACCATGAAGGCCCAGCCTTCTCGATCCTTGCCTGAGTGGTGATGACCCTCAGCTTTGTTTTTTAACTCTCTCTGTGAGAGAACAGTCTATTATTGGTAAGGTTTACAACTACTGGCAAAGTTCATTACTGGGAGTGAGGTGTATGATTATTAGTAAAGTTTATTCGCAGTTGTGAGGTTCCCTGGAGTAAAACTGTGGTTATGATATAGTCTGAGAGCTTTCCTATGTAATATATACAATGAAGACTGGATTCTTGTTGAGATGGATGTCTTAAGGTATATTAACAACATTAGCTATGCACACAAGCATGATATCTCAGACTTACATATGAGGGGAATCTTTTAGAGGCCTGAGCAACGTGGGCTATCATGAGATGTGTGGTAGAGTAACTCAACAAGTGCAGCAAGGCGCATCTCAATGTCCACGGGCACTGATCACAGACATACTTCATCGCAGACATTGGCGCACAGCATCCAGCGTGCCCTCACAACAACCTCCAATGAACTGGCAGTGGTGTTTTGGAAGTACAGACTTGCATTGCAGTGCACGCTGTCAACTAGTGCTGAAAGGCTGCAGCGGGGACAATTTGTGCACAGGCACAGGACCACAGCTCATGGACTGGACAAGGGTGGTACATCAAAGCTTGCTTTCTTGGTGCTTGCTTACTTAGCACTTACCTACCATCCATGTGTCGCCTTGCCTTGCCAGTTAGCACAGTCACACAAACAGGCAGCTTGCCTTGTCGCTAAGCAGTCCTGAGGCTAGGGATTGCACGGCAACGTGCTGCATCATCTCACCTCTACTCCATGTACCTGCAGCTTATGTGGCAAACACGTTGCATGAACAGCAAGCAAGCAATCGTATATCCACCTCTTAGGGGAGTTGACATCAATGAAGTCTATGGAGACACCCATCAGTCAGGGGGCCCTGTTACTGTAAGCCAGTGGCAGCCTCCCATTCTGAGAAAATGGCCATGATCACGCATCTGGTTGGACCAAGTTTTATTGGTCAGGGGTCCATTGAGGTTCCATGGTGCCAGTCTAGGTGGTAGGGATACCCTGGTCAGGAAGATGTACAGCCACCAGTCAGGGGTCGGGGGTGAAGTGGGTCTGATCACAACTAGCCCAGAACTGTCTGGTCAGGTCAATTGAGAGGGTGGGCCATGGTCACTCCTAGACCTCCAGGTATCCCTCAGAGAATCGTGGTGCCATCATCCCCTTCCCTGTCATGACCTGACTCTGTCAATCAGCCGGCAGCTTAAAAACGCCAGTGCTCGCCTGAGTGCCCTTTAAAGTTGCTGGTCTTTTGGTGGATATCTGCTGAGGGGCGAGCTGTTCTAGGAACAGCGTTTGGTATGATAGGGTGAAAATCAAACATGAGAGACACCATGGGGTGGGGTAGGTAATTAATGAGGCGAATTTGGTGAGATACGGTGAGAAAATGTCTTATGGCAAATAACTCTCTAAAAAACTGGATACAACTCAGAATTAGATAAAAGAAATACAAGTTTCAGCCTATAGTAAGATCAACACTTAATTGTGTTACTGTTATACTATATACTTAGCTCATTACCCTACACTGGACTGACTGCTTGCTTAACTGAGAGAGAGTAAATGAATACCAGAATGTCACACATTGTGATTCCGGGTAGCTTCCTCAAAGGTGCCTTTCTGAGATCTGTGCAATGATACAACAAGCAGTAGTAAAGTTTATTAGCAGTAATACAGTTTACAAACGTAGAAACTAAGAACAGAAATAGGCCATTCAGCCCCTTGAGCCTGTTCTGCTGTTCGATAAGATCGTGGCTGTTCTTGTTGTGTTTCAAATTCCGCATACCCCTGATAACTTTTGATTTATTTACCTCCAGGAATCTTCCAACTTTCAATCAATGGCTCCGCTTCCAGCACCTTTTGAGGCAGAGTTTGAGAGTCTCACAGTTCTCTGAGAGAGACCATTTCTCCTGATTTTCTTCCTAGAGAGTGACCCCTAATTTTTAAAGAGTGTCCCTGTTTCTGGACTCACCCTCAAGAAGGAAACATCTTTTCCATGTCCATCTTGACAAGGCCTTTCAGGATTTTATGGATTTCAATCAAGTCTCCCCCTAACTCTTCTAATCTTGGGTGGAAACAAGCCCAGTCTGTCTAACCGTCCCTCGTATAACAACAAAGCTGCCAATTAGAAGGTTCCAGAATGTTGTCAACTTGTCAACCATATGGTCAGGAACGTAGGAACAGGAGTAGGCCATTCAGCCCCTTGAATCCTCCCCACCATTCAATAAGATCATGGCTGATCTGTAGCATAACTCCATCTGCCTACCTTGGGCCCAAATTACTTGAAGTCCTTGCTGAATAAAAAATTGTCTATCACAGATTTAAATTGAATAATTGGATTACTATCAACTGCTGTCTGAGGAAGAAAGTTCCAAACTTCCTCTACTCTTTGTAGAAATGTTTTCTAACATCGATTCTGAATGGCCTGACTCTAAGTCTTAGACAATGCCCCGGTTGTAGAATCTTCAACCAGTGAAAATAGTTGATCTTTGTCCTTTGGGGTGGCACAGTGGCCCAGTGGTTAGCACTGCAGCCTCACAGCACTAGGGACCCAGGTTCAATTCCACCCTTGGGTGACTGTCTGTACAGAGTTTGCACATTCTCCACATAGCTGTGTTGGGTTTCCTCCCATAATCCAAAGATGTGCAGGCTAGGTGGATTGCCCATAGTGATCAGGGATGTGTAGATTATAGGGGGATAGATCTGGGTGGGATGCTCTGAGGATCATTGTGGACTTGTTGGTCCAAAGGGCTTGTTTCCACACTATAGGGATTCTATTTAAAAAAACCCTCTCTTTCCCTGTTAATATCCTGAAAACCTTGATTAGATCACCCTTTAACTGTCTAAATTTTAGACAATAAAGATTTAATTCATCCAATCTCTCCTAATAACAACCCATGAAGTCCAGGTATCACCCTTGTAAACTTGCCATTGAACTCCCTTCAGGACCAAAACATCCTTCCTAAGATATGGTGCCCAGATCTGCTCACAATATTCCAACTAGGGTGTTGTATGACTGCAGCATAAGGTCTGCATCCTTATACTCTAGCCATTCAGATAATGTAGGGACAATAGACTCAACAGCAGAATCTGGAATGCTCGCTCCCTCTCCCCCTGATTATTCATTGTCTCAGATAACAGTATCCAGTGAAAAAAGCCAATTGAGAAAAGAAGTATTCGCAGAGAACTCAAAGATAGTGAATACTGCGGTCCCTTAAAAAAATGAATTTTCCTTTAGGATGTGAAGGCATTCGAGAATGAGCAGAAAAATTCATCAGATTGGTTCTAGGGAGGAGGAGCTTCAATTACAAAGATAGACCAGGTGAGGTGGGCATGGTTTTCTTGGAAAAGAGAAGGTTGAGAGTGGATTTGATACACATTTCAAAATCATGAGGGATCTAGATAGAGAAGATAGTGTGAAAGGATCCAGAATGTGAGCACTTGGATCTAAAATAAAAGAAGCATGGGAGACGTGATGAGAAAGATTTCACGCAAACACACAAATGAGCTGTCTGAGTGAGGTTTAATCATGGCAGTCAAGAGGGAAGTGGATAATTACATGAAAATTATGCAGAGGGAGATAGAGGACTACTGAAATGAAAACAGAAAGTGCTGGAGAAACAGGTCTGGCAGTATCAATGGGAGAAAAACAGAGTTAGCATTTGAAATCTAGTGATCCTTTGTCAGAGGAACAGTTAATTGTTCACCATCAGAGCATGTATGACGGGCCGAACGGCCTCCTTCTGGATAAAGTTTGTTTTCGGTGTACTGTATTTGCCTGTTGGGGGGAAGTGGCCAAGGATTCGCATTATTCCTGAAGTATTCGTATTGTGGTTCTCCTGGTTGTTTGCACCATATGTTGTCTGTGCACTGTTTGAGTGCTATTCGCCCCTTTGTCCAGCATTTACACTACCTTTACACAGAGTATTTCCCCGGACCGGAGGGGTATTTCCACTGCATTTTTTTAGTACGCTTTCACTGAGTTCTCTGGGTTGTTCCCCGTTACGGGGCAGTACTTTGCAATGACTCAGCCTCTCGCACACCAAACTTCAAGCACTTCCGTATCCGTCAGAAACGGAGAGCGCCCGCCGATCCTGAAGGCTCCAGCGCCGAAACCGAGCCGGCTCCCAGGTTAGTGGCGTTCGCCAAACACTGGGCCCACATTACCCAGCCTATTCCGCAACCCCCCACCCACCCCACGTCCCGGTCCCGGTCCCGGAGCTGGAAGCAGATACTGACATATCTGCTGCAGCTAGATACAATGTGTTCCCGTGGCCGAAGAACCAATCCTAATCTAACAACAACGTAACCAACAGAGAAAATTAACAAGTCGGGCCCCTGCTCCCGCTCACTGTCCTGTAACCCCTGGGTTAGAAAGAGAGAGGGTCAATCAGCGAGAGCTCCTGATCCTCATCACTGTATGATTCCTGGCTTAGACAATGTGGAAATCAGTTAGGGCCCCTGCTCCTGCTCACTGTCCTGTGACACTTGAGTTACAGGAGGAGGAAATATTTACAAACAAACATACTAGCTCAGCAGATAACAAGGTGTAGAGCTGGATGAACACAGCAGGCCAAGCAGCATCAGAGGAGCAGGAAAGCTGACGTTTCGGGCCTAGACCCTTCTTCAGAAATGGGGGAGGGGGTTCCGAAATAAATAGGGAGAGAGGGGATAACAAGGTGTAGAGCTGGATGAAGAGGAGGAGGTGGAGAGAGGGGGAGGCGGATAGAAGATGGATAGAGGAGAAGATAGGTAGAGAGGAGACAGACAGGTCAAAGAGGCGGGGATGGAGCCAGTAAAGGTGAGTGTAGGTGGGGAGTTAGGGAGAAGATAGGTCAGTCCAGGGAGGACGGACAGGTCAAGGGGACGGGATGAGGCTAGTAGGTAGGAGATGGCAGTAGGGCTTGAGGTGGGAGGAGGGGATAGTGGGAGGAAGGACAGGTTAGGGAGGCGGGGACAAGCTGGGCTGGTTTTGGGATGCGTAGGGGGAGGGGAGATTTTGAAGCTTGTGAAGTCCACATTGATACCATTGGGCTGCAGGGTTCCCAAGCGAAATATGAGGTGCCTACACTCACCTTTATTGGCTCCATCCCTGCATCTTTGACCTGTCTGTCTCCTCTCCACCTATCTTCTCCTCTATCCATCTTCTATCCACCTCCCCCTCTCTCCCTATTTATTTCAGAACCCCTTCCCTCCCCATTTCTGAAGAAGGGTCTAGGCCCAAAACATCAGCTTTCCTGCTCTTCTGATGCTGCTTGGCCTGCTGTGTTCATCCAGCTCTACACCTTGTTATCTCAGATTCTCCAGCATCTGCAGTTCCTACTATCTCTCATACTAGCTCAGCAAGCAAGTCAACAACCGCATTTATTAAAATCCATTAGTCATATGTTGTTTTCAATAAAGAATTAATTTCTGACAGATATTTATACAATCATAGTACATTTTCAGTATTCTGAAAACTATTATAATACATATCATCAAACTGAAAGGCATTTCTAAAATGCCATCTTTCACCTGTGTTCCTTTGCAATAATCCCATCTTTGCTAACACCCCTTGAATGAAAAGTATATTCATTTTATTTTTGATTGTTTGCAGAAGTCTCTGTCCACTTTACATTTTGCATATCTGCTTTGGAAATGCTTAATGCTGATGTTATTAAAAGCGCTCCAAACACCCCATAATGCTTCATCCTTCATATGCTAGATAGAAAATTATTTGCCAAAAACAGTTACATCCCAGCTCCTTTCACTTCTAGTTTTGCAGAACTAATTTCTCCTTAACTTTTCATAAATTTGAAACAGAATCAGATATTGATTTACTTGTGATAATGTTTAGTTCAGAATCTTCATTCAGGAGTCTCTTAAGTATCTAAGAAAGGATGCTTTAGCCTTGGAGGGGGTCCTGAGGAGGTTCATTGGAGCATAGGAGGTTGAAGGGTAACATTATACAGGTTTTTTAAATCAGTTAGGGCACAGATGAGGTGAATAGCAAAAGTCTTTTCCCTAGGATAGGGAAGGTGAAAACTAGAGGGTGTACTTTTAAGGTGAGAGAAAGATTTAAAGGGGACCTGAGGGGCAACTTTTTCCACACAGAGTGTGGTTTGTATGTGGAATGAGTGGTTAGAGGAAGTGGTAGATGCAGGTACAGTTACAACATTTGGACAAGTACATAAATACGAAAGGTTTAGATGGATACAGGCCAAACGCAGGCAAATAGGACTACTTTAGTTTGGGGAAGTTGGTCGGCGTGGAACTGTTGGACCAAAGGGTCTGTTTCCATGCCGTTTGACTCTATAATTCTGTAATCAACCAGGGTCCCTGCTCCTGATCACATAAATATACAAAAGAGGGTCTAAAGGAGACTATTCACTCAATAAGACCACGGCTGATCTGTTTGTGATTTCAATTTCGTATTACAATTCAGTTCAAAGACCTTTGATTCCCCGGCTAAACAAAGTGACTACTAATCCTACAGCAGTGCTCCTAGTTCTAGACTGAACCACATGAGGAAACATCCTTTCCATGTCCACCATCACTGTCCAGTGACCCTTGGGATACAGAGAAGGGGAAATTAGCCAAGATTCCCATCCCCGATCGTCACCCAGTCACCCCTGGTTAGAAAGAGGGGAAATCAGCCAAGGAGAAAGGGTGCGATGTGTGTTCAACAATGGGTGGGGAATGTGCAGAGTCTCTTTTTGAGGAGGGGGAGTCACACAGTCTGCACGGGTAGGGGTTTTTGATGCCTGTGATCTCTCTGCCCCTACAGGTGTTTGAAGCCACAATGGAAGGTATCAGTTTCCGGTTCTTAGCCCATCTCAATCAACTCAGTGAAAACCTGGGCAGCGATGAGCTGAAGGCAATGAAATTCCTTTGCCGAGATCTGTTGCCCAGTAACCGGCTAAACGGGGCTGATTCTGGACAAAAACTCTTCGTCGCTCTGCAGGAGAAAGGTCTTCTCGATGAAAATGACCCCTTCATTGTGGCAGAACTACTGTATCGGACCCGACAATTCAGGCTCCTGAAGAAGATGAAATACGACAAAGACGAGGTCTGCAAGCAGCTGAAAGAATCAGGAAAGGCCAAGATCTCATCATACAGGTCAGCTCAACCTCTCATGGTCAACTGCACATTCACTGACCCTCCTTCATTTCATCTCGGGAGGTGTGCAATGAGGGCAGACGCTTGAGCAGATATTCAGGCAGATATCCAAGCAGCCTAAGCTGTGCGGTTAGGTGTTCCAGGACAGCTGTCAATCACACTCCAGCAGCAGTGAGGATTCCGAGAAACATTTACAAATCAGCTGATCCCACAAGACGGTGAAGATGCAGATTGGGAGAGCTGAGCAGGATCCATGCTAAAACGTTTAGGGGCTAAATAGTGTGCTTAAAACAATACATTGCAATGTTTAAATAGGTCTGCAGCTGCTCAGGGTGTGTTTGTTGCAACAGTGCAGAAAGACTTTTATTCTATAACTAACTGTATGCTGTACTTGCCCTCTGAATGGTTATTGGGGTTATTGTGTACCTAACCCTGTGTTGTACCTTGCCCAGGAGTGTTTGATGTACACAATGTAGAGGGAGATTTACTCTGTATCTAAATTTTGTGGCACCTGACCTCCATGTGTTTGATGGGAACTGAACATAGCACTCTATGAATAAAGTAATTTTTAACACATTTTTCAAATAGTTAAATAATCTTGTACTGAATTAAATACATCCTCTGGAGAAGTAGACAGAGTTCTACTCCAGTTCCAGAACTGTAGTTTTAATATACATTTGCTTCTTTTGCAGACAGTTTTTGTTCGAGGTTTCAGATGATATTACGATGAAGGATTTGGACACTGTGAAACATTTTTTGCGCTTCTCACTATCCAAATTGAAACTGGAGAATATCACAGTGAGTTTAGTGGACATGCTGGTACTTTTACCTCCTGTGAAAGAGCTAATCCCCTTTAGTATGTTATCCTGGTTCTTCCCTATATCTATTCATTTTTTTTGTAGAAAACAATTCTATCCTTTGCTTTTTTGGATGGATCCTTGATGGATTCTGCTTTCCTTGCAATTTCTGACAAAGTTTCAGGTACTCTCAATCCTCCATACAAAATAAATGTTCCCAACTCTAGCTTTGACCTTTTAATGCTGCTGTAATTTAATTTAGTTGTTGACTTACCAGACAATGGAGGTCTTTTCTCTGCTGATAAACCTTTACCAATGGGAAAAAGTACTAGCCATCTTAGCTAAAAGCCTCTAATCCCTGGGATCCTTTCCCAATCATTTCACAATCCCTTGTGTAACTTGAAAATGGGCTGCTGGTACACAGATCTGATAGTGGGGAGGAGTGTGAAAGATTTCTAGAAGCCTTAAAGGTTCCAGAAATTGGGTGATGGAGTTGTGGAGAGACAGGAGGCAGATGCAGTTTAGTGTATAATATCCAACAGCACATGTCTGAGGAAGAATGAGAAATGAGGGAGTCCATTAAATGGAAAGAAACTGGAGGATATGAAATTCCCTCACAAAGAGGCTGGTTAGAAAAATTAAAGCACATAGAATAGGATTAACTGAGATTGTAGACTTGCTCGCTGTGCCGGTGTTGTTGGGTTGCAGACATTTTGTCACCCTGCTAGGTAACATCGTCCATGTGCCTCTGGTGAAGCATCTGTGTTTTGTCCCGCTTGTTATTTATATGCCTTGGTTTGTTGGGGTGGTTGGTATAACTTCTGGTTCTGTTTTTCAGTGGTTTGTATATCAGGTCCAGTTCAATGTGTTTGATGATGGAGTTCTGGTTGGAATGCCAAGCCTCGTGGTCAAACAGAGATATGCCAGAAGAATGTTTGCAAGAATGGACCCAGGAATGATATACTTCAGTTTTGAAGATAGATGGGAGAAGTTGGAACTGTTTTCCTTGGAGATGAGAAAGCTTGGAGGAGATCTGATTGGTGTTTTCAAACCATGAGTTGTCTAGGCAGGATAGATCAGGCGAACCTGCTCCTGCTTCTAAAAGGATCAAGAAGAAGGGGGCACATATTTAAAATGTTTTGCAAGAGAAGTGCATGCAATGTCAGAAAAAAAAGATTCATACAGTGGGTGGTTTGGGGTCTATAATGCATTGCCTGGAAGTGTAGTGGAGGAAGGTTCAAATGAGGTACTTAACAGGGCAATGTATGATTATTTAAATAGAAATAATGTGCAGGTTATGGGAAAGGGCAGCAGAGTGGCACTAAGTTATGTTCATTTGGAGAATGGTGCAGCAAGGTGGATTGAACTGCCTGCTCCTACACCATTTCTTTTGCAAACACCTTTCCCCTATCTTGCAGGCTCCTCTTTACCCCACCAAGCATTCTCCTTCACCACCACCCCATTTCATGCATCTCCATTTCCCTGCTGAGTTCTCCTCTTTCTTTTCTCCCCTCCATGTCTCACATCCTCTTGGCTCCAGAATTAGCAGCCTTGCCTTCAGCTGCTTGGGTTCTAAGTTCTGAAATTTTCTGTTTAAACTTCTTCACATCCTCTCTCCTAGAGTCATAGAGTCATACAGCATGGAAATCGATCCTTCAGTTCAACCCATCCATGCCGACCAAGTTTCCCAAACTAAACTAGTTTCACTTGCCTGCATTTGGCCCATATCCCACTAAACCTTTCTTTTTCATGTACCTATCCAAATGTCTTTTAAATGCTGTAATCGTGCCTGCATCTACCAGTCCCTCTGGTACTTCATTCCACACATGAACCACATTGCGTGAAAAAGTTGCCTCTCAGGTCCCTTTTGAAACTTTCTCCTCTCACCTTAAAAATATGCCCCCTAGTTTTTAACTCCCCTACCCTGGGGAAAAGACCTTTGCTATTCATCTTATCTCACCCCCCAACCTCCTGCACTCCATTGAAAAGGACCCAGCCTATCCAGCATCTCCTTATAACTCAAACCCTCCATTCTCAGCAATATCCTGGTAAAACTTTTCCGAACCCTCTCCAATTTAATAATATCCTTCCTTAGGGCGACACAGTAGCTCAGTGGTTACCCTCTGAAAAGCATCCCACCCCAGACCCAACCCTACCCCTGTTACCCTGTATACCCCATGGCTAATCCACCTAGCCTTCACGTCCCTGGACACTATTGGCAATTTAGCATGGCCAGTTCACCTAACCTGCACATCTTTGGACTGTGGGAGGAAACTGGAACACCCAGAGGAAACCCACGAGACACAGGGAGAATGTGCAAATTCCACACGGACAGTTGCCTGAGGCTGGAATCAAACCAGGGTCCCTGGCACTGGTCTGTCTCCACACTATAGGGATTCTATGATTCTAAAGTAGGGTGATCAGAACTGTACGCAATACTCCAAAAGTGGCCTCATCAAAGTGCTGTACAATCTCAGCATGACATCCCAACTCCTATACTCAATGTTCTGAGCAATGAAGGGAAGCATGCTAAATGCCTTCCTAACCACCCTGTCTACCTGTGATGCATCTTTGAAAGAACTATGTACCTGAACCCCTTGGTCTCTCAGTATGACAACACTACCCAAGGCCCTACCATTAACTGTATAAGTACTGCCCTTGTTTGTTTTAACAAAATGCAATACCTCGCATTTAACCTTGGTGTCATCCGCAAACTTACTAACCATGCCTCCTAAATTCTTATCCAAATCATTTATATAAATGTCAAACAATCCTGTTTTAAAACCTTCCACAAAGCCTCTCTTTTGGTTACACATCAAACATTGCTCCTGTACAATCAGAGTTATCGGGTAAACATGGAGTAATCAGAAACAAAGAAAAAACCAAAGAACCCGATGCTGGAAGAAGGGTCATTGGACCTAAAGTGTTAACTCTGCTTTCTCTCCATAGATGCTGGCAGACCTGCTGAGTTTTTCCAGCAATCTCTGTTTTTGTTTCTGGAACAGTTTTTGTCTGATGAACCCTTCACTAACAGTTTGCTGTGTCACTCTCACACCTCTCCTCAGACAATGCTGGATGCCCTCACTGAAATGGAGAAGGAGGGATTGCTGGAAGAAAACAATATGGAGCTTTTGAAGGACATTTGCAAGGAAATTGGGGAGGATTTAGTGAAGAAGTTTGACTGTTACACAACGGAAGGTAATGGCCATCGATTTCAGCCCAGTGTTCTACTGGGAAATTTGGGGAGAATGGTCAGTGAGAGTGAGTTTGCAGCCCTCACGTACAACAAGGGTAAACAGATCAGTGAAGATCCACTGACAGCTTGTGGCAGATCTGGGATCTCAACTCCTCCACTCCTCTCCCTTCGTCTCTTCCCGCTCACTGTCCTTTCTTCTCTTTCCTGTCTCTCCTCCTCTCTCTCTCTCCCTCCCCCTTCTTTCCTCTTGTCCTTCCTCACCTCTCCCCTCCCCTCTCCAGGTTCACTCAGTTTGGAGGGACTGTCTTACGAGAAGAGGTTGAGTAGGTTGGGCTCGTACTCATTAGAGTTTAGAAGAACGGGAGGACCTGTTATGGAAACATACAAGATTCTTAATGAGCTTGACTGGGTAGATGTGGAAAGGTTGTTTTCCCCTGTGGGAGAGTCTAGAACCAGAAGGCATGATAACAGTGTGAGGGGTTGCCCAGTTAGGACAGAGAGGAGGAGGAATATTTTCTTTGAGGATAATAAATCTGTGGAATTCTTTACTGCAGAGGGCCTTCAAAGCTCAGTCATTAAGTATATTCAAGGCTGAGAAAGACAGATTTTTAATCTGTAACTTTTAATTGATTTTTAATCAAAGGTCTTGGGGAAAAGGCACTCAAGTGGAGTTGATGATGATCAGATCAGCTGCATTCTCATTGAATGGCTGAGCAGACTTGATGGGCTGAATAGCCTACTTCTGTTCTTACTTCTTACGGTTTCTTCCCTCTCTCCTCTGCTGTCATCAAGCTCCAGAAAGGCCGGGTACAGATCCCAGGTCTTGGGGCTATTCCTCCTGTGTTTGCACGCCATTAGATCCCACCTGAGCTCACTTACCCGTGCAGGGATGAGCTGGTTACATCAGAATGCATAACTCGGAGTCCTTATTTCTACGTTAATTTAGGAAGCCGGAAGGGTAAGGAATCTGGTCCATTGCTGGCTCCAACTCCCGAGACTGAGTGTCTGCTTGTGAACTTAATTCCTCAGAGGCCACCATCTGGGGTGAGTAAACCTTGCGTTGATTTGTGCTGTTGTCTCTGCAATCTGATTAATCTACAGGCACGAGGCGCAAGGGGCATTGTTATAAAGCTTGGATTAGGCCTCAAAATGGAGTTTTGCGTTGGTTCCGGTCACCTCACTCTAGCAAGGATGTGAGGGTCCATGAAAGAGTGCACAGGAGATTTAGTAGGATGTTTCCAGGATTGACGGATTTTATCTGCAAGGCTGGAGAAGCTCGGGTTGTTCTCCTTGGAACGAAGGAAATTGAGGGGAGCTTTAGTGGAGATGAACTTGATGAGACAGGTTTCGATGAGTTGGACGAAGATAAGCTTTTCCCATTAGCTGATGGTGTAAAAACACATATTTTGGCAAGAGATGCAGGTGGGATGGAGGAAGAATGTAGTTTTCTTACACAGTGAGTGGTAATGGTTTAGTATTTACTGCCCATAAGACTAGTGGAAGCAGAATCAATAAATGATTTAAAAAGGAAAGATGAAAAACAAGTCTTGCTAAAACTATACAAGGCACGAGTCAGACCACAGCTGGAATACTGTGAACAGTTTTGGGCCCCTTATTTAAGGAAAGATATACTGCCATTGGAGGTAGTGCAGAGACGGTTCACTTGGTTGATCCCAGGTATGGAAGGATTGTCTCATGAGGAGTAGGTTATGAGATTGAGTAGGTTGGACCTGTACTCATTAGAGTTTAGAAGAATGAACATATATATAAGATTCTTAAGGGGCTTGACATAGTAGACGTGGAGAGGTTGTTTCCCCTTGTGGGAGAGTGACCACAGGACATAATCTCAGAATAAGAGGGTCACCCAGTTAGGACAAAGATGAGCACTTCTTTTCTTTCTGAGGGTAGTCAATTAGTGATTTTAAAAAAAATCACAGGGACCTGTAGAGGTTGGGTCATTAAGTGAATTCAAGGTTGAGATAGCTTGTTAATCAGTAAGGGAATCAAAGGTTATGGGGAAAGGCAGATAAAGTGGAGATGAGGGTTATCAAATCAATCATGATTTCATTGAATGGCAAAACAGACTGGATGGACTGAATAGCCTGGTTCTATTCATAGATATTATAGTGTAAAACTTGAGAAATAAACTTGCAGGGTCAGGGAAATGGAGCAGGGGAATGCGACAGAGTTAGTCTACAGGCAGCAGGCATGGATTTGATGGGTTGAATGGCCTCTTTCTATACTGTAATGACTCTGAGGAGCCAGAATGATATGGGCTGTGTTTGGCAGAGACCATGTGGTACAGGGTGGATGAAGTGGCCAAAGAAGACTAGGTGTTGAGGGGAGGGATTGTAAGGGAGGTAAAGTGGCATGGGCAGGGTTTCCTGACAATAGGACTCACACATGCACTGTATTGGAACTGGGAAAACATTGCCGTAATCTTAAACTCCACTTTTCCCATGTGGGCTGGGATAACCCCATCTAATGAACTGTATGTCAGTCAACAATCTTTTGGTCAGGAGTGGAGTTTCAGAAGCCTGTGGAGTAGTGTCTCTCCCAGGGGGCAGGGTGCTAGGGAGGGGGACTACAGAGAGACATGATCCACATTTAAGTCCTGCAAGCAGGTACTAGAGCATTTGGACATTAGAAGTTCTTGAATGAACTGAGTGTCCTGAAGGTGTATCAATGGGACGGTGGCCCAGCGGTTAGTACTGCTACCTCACAACGCCAGGGACCCAGGTTCAATTCCACCCTTGGGCAACTATGTAGAGTTTGCACATTCTCCCTGCATCTGTGTGGGTTTCCTTCAGGGGCTCCAGTTTCCTAACCACAAGTTAGGTGTATAGGCCATGCTACAGTGCCCAGGGGTGTGCAGGCAGGTGGATTAGCCATGGGGAATGCAGGGTTACAGGGATAGAGTAGGGGGCTAGATCAGGGTGGGATGCTTTTCGGAGGGTCGGTGTGGACTCAATGGGCCAAACGGCCTGCTTCCACACCGTAGGGATTCTACATCCTTTGATATTTTGCCTGCGAAGGAAGGCTTTCTACGTGCATCAGTCACTGTTGCTATTTAAGGTTTGACAATGACCCTGCCCTCAGATATGATTGTTTTCTTTTCTGTGTAGGTACGGTTGGGACCCCCCAGGATGGGTGAACAACACAATTCCTTGTCAACGAAACCGGCACAGCTTTCTGGTATGTTTGTTACTGTATAATACTTGGGTACAGCACTCGTGGGACAGGTTCTGTCACCTGTATAATACTGGGGTCTGGGTCTGTGGACTCCCCTTCCAAAACCCTCTCTGTTTTCTGTCCATACTTCAGTCTCATAAGACCAGAAAGGTTCTGTCCAGGATGCAAGCAGCAGCAGCAGTAATGCGCTGAGTCCCGAGAGTCAAGGTAACCAAATCTGTCTGAAGGAGATGGAGACAGACAGTGAGAGAGGCAGTGGGAGGACAGCGTGTAACAGAAAGATAGGGAAATTCTTGGGCATGAGGAGACTGGTGAAGTGTATGCAAGCAGCAGAAAGCAGATGGTGAAAGGAAGATTGACTGAAAGAGAAGGGCAAGAAGAGACAGAGGAGTGAGTGAGTGAGTGTTGGAGTCAGGGTTGGAAAGATGAGAGGCAGTGAAAAAGAGACAGGCAATCTGAGAGTGGGTGTTGTGTTAGGAAGAAATAAACATTTACTCCCATTTCTAAGTAATTAGGATGACCAAATGAGTTTATGCTGTATTACTTTATAGCCAGATGTGTTACATCTAAGATTGTCTAACATTAAGAAAAACAATTCAGAAACTAGTTAAGTCAATCGAAGAACACATCTAGAGCAAGTTAGCTCCCTTCATCCTGAAGGGTGGAGTTATATTCTGATGTGAGTTACTCTTTGCAGGACCTAGGTACCATATATATGAAAACTCACTTGTACAAGATTTACAGATAGGAGCCTGGCCCTGAGCCTATGGAAGAGGTTTAAGAATAATGACAGATAAACGAAGGGGCTGTTGAGATGGCTTGGCTTCAGAAAGGGCAGACCAGTTCTCTCCTTGGTATTGGCGTAAGGAGTTCGTGTGGTTGAAGGTAAGGCTGCAGATGAAGTCAGTTGGGTTTCAGCACAGTATTAGATACAGTGCAATGTAAAAGGTTAGTTGTTAGGGCACATGTCCCTTTTATAGATGACTCAGTATTTATCTGATAAAACACCTTGAAAGGAGTGCACTGCAGATTCACCTGAGTAGGGAAGTCAAGTTGAGATTGTACGGGACATTGGTGAGGCCTCTTCTGGAATACTGTGTCCAGTTTTGGTTGCCCAGTTATAGGAAGGATGTTATTAAGTTGGAAAGGGTTCAGAAGACCAGGATGTTGCTGGGTATGGAAGGTTTGAGTTATAAGGAAAGGCTGGATAGGCTGGGACTTCTTTCACTGGAGCATAAGAGGTTCAGAGGCGACCTTATAGAAGTTTATAAAATAATGAGGGGTATAGATAGAATTAATGGTTGTTTCTTTTCCCTAGTATGGGGTATTTCAAGACTAGGGGCACATTTTTAAGGCAAGAGGAGAGAGATTTTAGAAAGACATGAGGGGCAATTTTTTTTTTACACAGAGGGTGGTTTGTGTGTGGAATGAATTTCCTGAGGAAGTGGTGGACGTGAGTATAATAACATTTAAAAGACATTTGGGTAAGTACATGAATAGGAAAGGTTTGGAGGGATATGAGCCAGGATCAGGCAGGTGGGATGAGTTAGTTTGGATTATGACTGGCATTGACTAATTGAACCAAAGGGTCTATTTCCATTTCTAAGAGTCAGATTATGAGGAAAGATGACGTGAACTGAGTTGGTATTGCCTGGAATAAAGAAGGTGAAGGGGTGATCTAATTGAGATTTTGGAGATTTTGGAAGAGTAGATCAAAATCTTTTTTCTTCTGTTGGCCAGTCTAGGTCAACGAGAGACAACCTTAACTTGAAAACAGGACTAGGTCTTGAAGTAAGGAAACATTTCTCCACTTATAAAGTTGAAGAAATATGGAAAATACTCCCACAAAAAGCAATAGGTACTGCGGTTCAGTTAAGGATTTTAAACACACGATTAATAGAGTTTTGTGAGACAAGGGCATAAAGGGACAGATGGATGGATAGAGTTACAATGCACCCATGATTCATTAGGACAATGGAACAGGCTTGAGGGGCTGAATGTTCTCCTCCTGTTCCTTTGTAGAGGATGGTGTGTGGGGAGGTATCACTTGGTAACTGGTCACCACTTGGAGGGTCCCTGGGCTGGCTGCTGGTTAGAATTTGTATAAAGTGGCAGAGAAGTTGAAATATCTTCCGCTGATTGTGGGTGACTCCAAATTAGGTGCAGTTCCTTCAGAAATCTTTATAATATTTACAGCTCTGAGAATTTGGACCCAGGAACATAGTGTTGAGTGTACATTTCAAAGACAAGAGACAGAGTTTAGATTTGCCAGGAGACAGGAAGACATAGGAGCAGAGTGGGCCATTGAACCATCACGTCTGCTAATGTGATAATGCTCTACTCCACTTTCCTGGCTTTTCCCCGTAACCCTTGATTCCCTTACTGATGAAAAATCTGCCTATCTCAACTTGAACATACTGAGGATACAGCCTTGACAGCCTACTGCAATAAAGAATTCCACAGATTCTCAGAGAAAAAAATTCCTCCTCATCTTTGTTTTAAATGGGCGATCCCTTTATTTTGAGATGGTGCTCCCTGGTCCTAGACTCTCCTATGAGGGGAAACAATTGCTCTGCACCTATGCTGTCAAGTCCATAAAGAACCTTTTAAGTTTCAGTAAGGTTTCCTCTCATTCTTTTGAGGCAGATAGGAAAACCAAAAACTGTATTCAGTTCAGGAAAATAAGAATTTTTTAAGGGGCCAGATTTTCTTTAGCATTTTGTAAAAGGCTTCTAAATTTCTCCAAAGATTTATGTGTGCAACTGTTAGGAATTTCTTCTCTTGCATCCCCTTTCAAGTGGTACCGTTTTCTATCGCACTGATCTGTATCTACTAGGCAGCGGCATTAACTGAGAATCATTTGCTTTTATGCAGACACGAAGGAGCAAGATGGTGTTGACTTCCATGGTCCAAATACTGAGGCGAAGTCTGAGCACCAGGTGAGAGCAGTTCACTCACCCCTATTGTTTGCTCAATGTCAAGTCTATGCTATTTAGTTTCTTTACACTATTTTCACCAGGTTCTGATTATTAAAAATGTGAATGTAATATTAACCTTCTACCTAAAGGGGGCTTAATTACAAAGAGTGGAGGCTGTTATCTAAAGGTCTTTCTGGACTCCACTTGCACTGTGTTCAGTTCTGGGTTTTGCACCTCAGGAAGGACAGATTGGCCTTGAAGGGAGTGCAGCACAGAATCACCAAGGTGATACTGGGACTAACTGGGTCAAATTATGAAGCCAGATTACACAGTGAGATTGTGTTTCCTCAAATATGGAAAATTTAGAGATAATGTTATTGAGGCATTGCAAAGTATCATCTTAATCAGATGATAAAAGCGGTTTAGATATAAAGTAGATAAAAGGTGTAGAGCTGGATGAACACAGCAGGCCAAGCAGCATCAGAGGAGCAGGAAGGCTGACGTTTCGGGCCTAGACCCTTCTTCAGAAAATCAGT